CATTTGGAAAATCGTATTTGGATTATTACAAATCGAAAATTAAAGAGTCCAATAGTATTTTTGCAATGCAATTTTTGCGCATCGCCCTTATTAAACATTCATCACTCATTTGGTAGGAGATACACACAAAAGTGGCGAACAGCATTGGGCTTATAATAACAATGAATACAAATTAAAGACCATCGGTTGCATTATGATGAGTGCATAATGTTGGTAGATTGATTCAGCCGATTACCAAGTAAATTGAAAGCGGCTTAATGACAATATGAAAGGTTAAAAATATGGAGAGAGAGAGAGAGAGAAAAAAAGGTTTAATATACATCAAGGAGAAAATATGTTCATAAAGAGATTGATTATAGGAGTTAATAATGCTATTGAACTTGGATTTCTTGTTCTCTTTTTTAATTAAATGAAACACTTTATATTACGGTTTTCTTTCTTTGTCTCTGATTGGTTCGTTGGTTTAATTTCCCTGCACTTGACTCACTCACTTTCCCGCCCCCTTTTTTTTTTATATTTCCCCTCCCAGCTTTTTGTATTCTTGGCCATTTCCTGTCACGTCTCTGCCACATAAGACACAGCAAACAACGAAGGAAATCCAACAGCAACTTGAACTGTTCAGGGAAAGTTCTCGTAAGCTTTAAACAAGGGGGAAAAATCAGACAACAGAGGGGGGAAAGTATGCCGATTGCTGTCAGGGTCAGGACCCCGAGAAAATCAAGAAGCTGTGGAAAAGCCATCAGTAGCCAATTTTTTTCCCCTTCTTTCTTTATTTGTTTTCCATAGAGCTGCATAAGGGGGAAAATTTTATAGAATTATGTGCAACAAAGTGATGAAAAAACCTGAAACTAAAAGAAATGCTTAGACAATCTGTAACTTTGTTTGGGAAAATTATTTATTATTATTAATAAATGATTAAAAACTAGTTAGAATTTAGTAGGAATTCTTTTTTACTCAAGAAATTATGGATAAATATATCGATATCAACATTACCACACTTCATAATCTATATATAAAGTTAAAGAACACTTTCAAAATTGTTATCGATATATTTTTTTAAGTAAAAATGTTTTCGATTTTATGATTTTTTAAGGAAATCGATAATTATCGATCTTTAAAATGGTACATAACTTAAGATTTACTTATGTAATAACTTTTGTTATTCAAATTCAACTCGAACAGTACTCCAAGTGTCACCTCTTGCGTCACTTCCGCTTCCGCCGCCTTTGGTGAATCCCCTTTGACGCGAGCAAGGAACCGTTATCACGAGCTGAAGCGAACTAATGCAATTATTAGCAGACGGACAGAAGAAGAAGATAATGAATAATAAGAGAGGGGAGTAGGAAAGGGAAGAGAAAAGAAGGTCGAGGACAAACTTGGCTTATTTGCCAAAGAGATCATCGCAAATAACCTGGCAACCCGTTGAAAAGTCGCTCTTTTTTTGCACTCTGTCTGCCTTTGTTTGCTCCTTTTTTTTACACTGGCCTTCATCACAACCTCACCCCTTCCCCCTCCTCATTGCTGCTGATTTCTCCCCTTGATTCTCCTTTATCGTTGACATCTTTTTTGTCTCATTAACATTTGCGCCACACAATCAACGACAGTCTGGACAGTGCTTTTTTTTTTTTACCGAAGTTCGTGTTTCTGTTTTTGCTTTCTTTGCTATTGTATCGCCTTCATGATGACACTCTGCTTTTTCTCTTCCCTCTCTCTTTTTCCTGGATAAAGTCCAGAGTGTACTTTGGATATATATAAAAAGATATATACAACAAAATTGGCATATTATTTGAAGGGGAAAGGTTATTGGCTTAGTCATCGCAGTTTTTGTTAATGGAAGTTTGCCAAGTTAGCAAATTTAAAACAAATTGTGGTTAAGTCTTTAGACTAGAAATCATTTCTATAATCATATTATTTAAATTATTTAAAGTTTTATAAATTTTAAGCTTCTGTTTCAGTGGTTTCTTAGTTAGTTTCTTCTGTTCCCTTGGTTGTGTTATCAAAAAAGTGCTGTTGGTTTTCTCTACACTTTTTTTTTGGAGAGATTTGGGTAGAAATTTTGAAAGTTTTGAACCTTTTGCTTCTATAAGCACTTTCCGATTCCTAAGTATTTGTCTTTCTATTTCAAAAACTCATATTTTAAGCAGAAAATATACATAGGTATATTTTTATTTAGAACTAGATAATTCTTTTTTAGAAATCCTCTTTGATCATTAAACCGATTTTCTAGTTTACTTTATTTTATTATTTTTATTTAGATCTAGATTTAGTTTACTTTATTTTATTAATTTTATTGAGAACTTAAACATTTGTTTACTTGAAATTCTTGTTTAAAAACGATTTATAGATTGACTTGATTTTATTATTACCTATATATGCTGTCTGTTTTGTTATTAATTTATTTGAAACTTGAACTTTTTAAACTTAAAAGGAATTTTTTACTTTTAAAGAATATTTTTTATAATTTCAATTTTGTCTTCTTTTTTATTTCGATTTCTTTGTTTTGTCTTTTGTTTTAGCTTTCTTATGTGGCTTGTTTTTTTCCTTGTATAACTGCTATTGTTGCATTTGTTTGACAAGCAACACGTACAACATGCTCGTTTGTCCAGAGAAAATTGGCTGGACAGAGCTGGCAGCAAAATTAAAAATGATATGAAATCAACAACAGTAGCAGAGACAGAGAAAAGAGGAAAATTGAAAGCAGGAGAACTTGTTCGGAAAATTGTGGGGGAAATGGGTCAGAAGACAGAGGCGGAAAATATTTGTTATCAAAGACAAGTAAAAACAATTAAAGGGATCAAAAACTTAATTGATTATGGAATAAAATAATCAAATAAGATAATTTTTAGACAAGATAAAACAGTAGGTTAAATCGTAAATCATTTACTTGTTAGTTAGTTTTAACAAACAGCTTGAACCACAATTTAATTAATTCCTAAATCCATAAATATTTAATTTACATTTTCACTTTGTTGTAAAATGTAATTGAAAACCTTTTACTACAAAGTGAAAATGAATATTAAATACTTATTCTTTACAATTTAAGTACTAAATGGTTGATTTAATTTATAAATGTGTCATATGCTTTAAACATTCTGATAAGCAATAAAAGTTTTCTTTTTAAATTAAAATATAAATTTCTTGGAAGCCTTTTCAAAAGGATCTTTCCTTTGTTTCTTTATGATTAGTTTTCTTTAATATTCATTTCTACATTACCTTAGGCAAAGTCTTACTTTCTGCCTTAAAGTTTATTCGTTTTGGCCTTGTCATCTGTGTAGCCAGTAAAATATATAAAAAAAATTCATCAATGCTGCAATGAGGAACAATATTTGTAAAAAAAAGAATTATGTACCTGTGACAAAAAAAAAGGTGGGAAAATAACTCAGGATGATGATTCGTGCAACCTGCATAATTTTTTGTTTTTCTTCCTGACGTCCCCTTTTGTACTGTGCATATTCTTTGGCAACGCATTTTCTTTTCACTTATTTGCTTTTTATGACATTTTATTATGACGTCAATGGGGGAAGCCTTTAATTGACAGCTGCTGCTGCTGCTACTGCAGCTTCTCTTATTTTATTATTATTGTTTTCGACGTTCATTTCCAACTTTATGGAATTGTTTTAGACCAAAGTGAAAGGGGTGGGGTGGGGAAAGCATGGTGGTAGAATGGGAATTTGCGCACAAGTTATATAAGGAATTGACAGTTTTATTGCCGTTCGATATTTGCAAAGAAATATTCGCGCGTCAATGTCATTGGGCTTTTGCTAGCTGATGCTGCACTTCTTCCTTCCACTGATGAGAACTGAAGATAAAGTTATTCCTGGATGTTGTCATTTCCGATTAAGCAACTACCAAAGTACAAGTTTGGGTTGTTATTTTTATGGGTTTACAAGTTTTTGGGGGAAGTTATCAAGTGATTCATAGGTACAAATATTTTCCTTGTAAATTGGTTGTTGTAGGTTGGTGAAGGCATTGGTGACGTTGTTCCTTTGCATATTGATTTGGTGTTGTTGTTGAAATAGTTCAAAAGTTGTTCCTGCAATGTTGGTGTGTTTTGTTTGAAGTTTAAACAAGTTTGACGATGTTGTTTTTGTATGTCTGTGTGTTTTTTGGTATTTATTCTTATACATTATGTTGTTGGTGTACTTAATTATCTTTTTTTAATGATGTTATGTGTGTTTTTTTTTTGGTGTTGTTATGGCACTTATTAACACTTATGAAGATACTAGTGTATTCACATCTAGTATTAAATGTTCGAGATGCATTTTAAAGTAATTTTCAGCAAGTTTTTCTATTTTCTTCATGAACTACCAAGTATTTCTTGATATTTATTCTCCCTCAAAAAGTTGTTGGTGTAGCTTTTTTTCGAAATCAAAGTTTTTTATGTGTGTTGTAATTTACTATAAAATATTCTCGATTTATTTGAAGTTTCCCTTGTTGTTTTTAGTGCTTTTTCATCTAACATTTTTAATTACATGTATTTTGGACAATGTTCTTCCTGTGTTAGTTCCTGTTTTTGTTTTTCTGTGGTTGATCTTATTTCTCCTTAAGTTTGCCGCCTAAGTTCCTTCTTTTTTGTTTCCGTTGCAAATGCCACAGTTGCATCAAACCGATGTTGCTGCTGTTATTGTTTTTGCCTGTTGATGTTGCTCTGGCGACTGTAGCTGCAATTGTGGCTGACATATCCCATTACAGTTTCCGTTACTGGTTTTGCGCTCAAAGGAACACACAGCAGCAGCAACAGCAAACAGCTGCAAAGAGTTGGGTCTGAAAATGCCATATTGGCCATATTTTTATTGTATGCAAAGTTTATATATATTAGAGATGGTTAAATAATATCAATATAGATATATCGGTTAAATGTTAAACCGGAAATGGGAATACAAGATTTTTAAAAGCATTGTTTATTAATATATATAATATATAATGTGTTTAAATATATTTTTTTTTTTTTTATATATATTACCTTACCTAATGCTCTCTCTTTTCTGTTTCTTTTGCAGTTAGAAAATTGCGGCCAAGTTGTCTCTTCCCCCCCAAAACTGTCATTGTCTTTGGCATTGGGTAACATTTTAATTGAAAAAGTTTTTGCCAGCAGCTTGCACACACTTGCAGTGAGATGACTGTGAAATTGGCCAAGCTGTTTGGCGGCATGGCAGCGGGCAATGGCACTGGTTCCATGGGGGATTCCCTGGACAATGTTGGCAGTCACCAGCAGCAACAGCAACAGCAGCAGCAACAGCAACAGCAACAGCAGCAGCAACACCTGCAACAACACCAAAACTTTCAGCAGCAGCAGCAACATGCCTCACAGCAGCAGCAGCAGCCACCGCCTTTGCCACCGCCGAATGCAAACATGAAAACCCTAAAGTACTATGAACATCTGCAGGACACTTACGACTGTCATGATCTAATGCTTGGCCAGGATCAGGATCACGATGACTACGAGGATAACATGTCGTTGAGCTCGGCCTGCATGCAGCGTAATCATCCCTACAATAATTCACAGAGACCACTGCTAGGAGATCGACGTCCCCAACTCACTGTGATGAGTGTTGGGAAAAAGAACAAATCCAATGGAGCAGCTAATATCCATCACCAGCAATCCCTGCCCCTGCCACCCTTGCCACCGGCAAGGAGCTACATTTCACCGTATGTGCAACAACAGAAGCGGGATAGTGCCAAGGGATTGCATGGATTCAATGATTTTGATGCCTTGTCGCAGCAATATAATCAGCATTTGCAGAGTCCTCACATTGGTTATCCCTATGGAAGTCCACCATCGCCGACAGCTCAGTCCCGGGACTTTTGTTTCGATCGACAGATGACAACGGGTACCGGTCAAGGCATCATCTCGAGCAGCAGTTCCAGCAATTGCAGCAGCTCTCACACCACATCTACATCCTCACCCACCAGATATTATCCAGATTCGCGTTTCGAGGATGACTTTTGTATGCGTCGTCCTGCGGGTAATTCACCGCCGCCATCGTTGCCACCTCAGGCATGTGGTGGTAGTAATGGAGGTCCCTTTATTTTCGGGATTGCACCGGAGCAACAGGCCACGGATTATGGATGCAATCCGTTGCCACCAACGCCCCCGCAGCAGCAAAAGCATCAAACTGTGATAAGCCGAAGTCCTTTGGTGAGTAACAAAAAGTAACAAAATGCATTTCATATTCGAGTGATTAAAAATTGCAAATATAAAAAGGGAGAACAGACAGACAGGTTAGTTAGTAAGTACATTCGAGATAAATCTAATTTTTGTGTTGGCTAATTTAGATAACGTTAATATATATGGGGCTTAAGATGTATATTTAAAGATAACAACATATATCTCATTATGTTTATGGCCAGTCTTAGTTAAAGTACGTAAATGGTTGAGAAGAAATTTAGATAGTAAACTGCAGAAAGGCAATAAATAATTACAAATTAGTAATTAGATAAATATATACAATAAGGTAAATAATATATATAAAATTCAGTTAAAAAAAGAAGACTGCAAGGAATAAATGTAACATAGCCAAATTTTATAGATGAATTTTACATTGTTTCAAACAATTCCAAAGTTGTAAAAAGTCTCATACAAATAACTACAAAAAGTAAATGCAAATAAACGCTACAAGATAATTAATTAAAAGATTTACTATTACATAGCCAAATTTGAAGGATACCTTTTTATTTTTCAAACAATTTCAGAGTTTCACAAAGTAGCAATACAATTTCTGGCTAAAAATAAATGCCAAAAACTAAGTAATTAAAAGCTTTATTTCTTTCTTAATTTGTTTATTTGCAACTTCTTTACCAATTACTGAAAAAGATATCGAATTTCCCAGGCTTTTTCACCTTTAGAGTTTGTAAACATTCAAGGCAAAATAACAATTATCTTAAAGACGTAAACAAATTTTCTACCAAGATAAATCTGTGTGAAAAAACCTTGCCAAAATGAAAATTAAATTGTTATTGGTTTTATTTTTAATATATTATAAGATCATAGTAGTCATTAAAGTTAAGGCTATGAGAAGCACTTGCAACGTTAACAATCGATTGTTAAAGTTTTCCTCTTTTTTTTTTTAGTATTTATTATTATTTGGCTTGAGAATTTACTGCTTTTGCTGTTTTAGGGGGAAACCTTTTTCGAATTTCAACTACCTTCAGCATTTCGCATTGGGATTGTCTGTTTATTATGATAATGGTTCCCTCACCTGGCTGTGCAGGTCAGTGGAGGGTTAAGACAGAGTGTTAAAAGGGGACGGTCATAAGAAGGAACAATCCTCTCAATGCACTCACTGACACTAAAATATGTTGGTGTAACTATTTCTCTTATTAATGTATTGTTAAAATTTTCAACAATATTTTTTTTAAATTATTTATTTAATTTTCAACAAACTAGTCTTCTTTGAAGTTCATTGGTGAATTAATTTTTATTAAATGGTGATGTTTGTGTGTGTTGTTGTAATTTTCAACAATGTTGCGTAGAGAGATGCATTCACCAACAATAATAAAAATGGAAAAGAAAGAAATATACTTAAAGTCAAGCATATAATTTATATTATTATATATATATATTTTTTATATAATATGTTTCTCTCTGTGTAAGAACATACTCACTCAAATGGACGAACGCAAAAGCCCGTCAATGTCTGCGCCTGTGTCTACTTGAGCTTTTCATTTCATCGGGCAACCGGGAAAATATCCAAGACTTCCTCTAGGATCTCTTCAACTCTCCTCTCTTTCCCCATCATTGGCACAATTTCCACCACTTTCACAATCTCTCCCGGTCTTGTGTGCAAGTTTTCGCCCATTAAAGGCAGACAGAGAAATTAAAATGTTGCACAAATAAAATGTAAGAACACTTTCACATTTGTTTTTCCCTTCATTTTCCTTTTACTTCCGCAAGCAGTCAGGACGAATGGCAGGCAGGCATCCTTTGGATGCAATGGGCGACGGGATTAAAACACATTTCGTAAATTAATAATGAAATTAATTCATGAATAGCAAGTGTCTGTGAGGACGAACTTTCGAAGGGAAAGAAATCTCTCCTCTCTGAATGAGAGGATAAAATGGGAAAAGTAAGGAAATCTATATAGAAATATACTTTAAACTATAAAATATATTGTGTAATTTAAAGACTTTTCTCTATAAATAACCATGAGGAAGTGACCGGAAAATATATATTCTCTACCATAATGAATAAAAATTGGCTTGGTCGAAATGTGTCTCTGGGCCCGGTTAAAAAGCAAATTACGCTAATGAAATGCTTTAACCCTGATGGGGATGCATTTCACACCACCGGGTTTTTATGACCCCCCCCACTTTTACCCAGATTTTCACCACTTTTTCGCCACTTTTCCTCGCTTTTCCGAGAACCGCAAAAGTCGCCAAATGTGCTGCAGCAGCGGCCGGGGCCACAAGGAAACCACAAAAGTAGAAACTGAAATAAAGGAAAAGGAAAATTTCGTAATTACACTTAAGTTGGTTAATTGTCGGACAGATATTCCGCTTCTTCCGTTGCAACATTTCCTTTCATTTTCCGCCACTTTTCCCCACACCCATCTGGCTGATACTAATTATATAAATTAAATTGGAATATTATGCTACAAGATAAGCATAATATAATATGTAAATTGCCAGGGATTTTTCTGTAATTACTGAACATGAACTATGGTTAAAGATGTTTTTAACAAGGAAAAAGTCTTACTTTAATATCCTTTTCCGGGCTTAGAAAATGCAACTAGAAAGGTCTTTGGAGCGGGGGGAAAGTAGGGAGAAAGCTAAGATACATCTCTGTGTTAATTACGATACTTTTCCCAGATTGCCAGAATATGCAAGTAAATAGGAGGATTAGCATAAAAGATACATACATATATATGTATTTAAATGTATTTTAGAGAAAGCAAGTTAGAATTGCTTTTCTCTTTGTCGGATTTGTTGGCCAATTTCAGGTCATCTTTAATGCCATATAAACAAGGCAATAAATAGAGTGCAACAACAGAGTCTGCCTCAAGCTATATACACATTTATATATATATACATATATATAGATACTTTATATGGATCTGAACTGGCTGACAAGGTTGCGGTCTAAACATGAGCAACATCATCATCGGCAACATCGACAATTGAAGCAGCAACAATTGAGAACAATTGCCAAGCAAACTTGAGTAACTTTTTCGATGCTGTCTGTCTGGAGAGCTCCTCCGAAATGAAATCCAATGCAAAGTCTGGGATTGCGAAAAATCATCTTCGATTACACGGCCATAGACCAGACTCAGACCATATTTGTATATATATCAAATAGAAAAATGTTGTTTTGGCATTGCAAGCTCAATGTGCAATATCAATTACTTTTGCCACTGAGTCACACAAAAAATGAGAGTGAAAAAGGTTTTAGTATCTAGAATTTAGAGTTAGAGTATAAATAATATGACTTGGCCAACTGTTGTCTTACCTGGTTTTTTCCTTAGTATTTCTTTGTTTGTTGCTGTTTTGACTTATGGCTGTTTTTGCTTTTTGTTTTGACTTAACATTGCATTGAAAATTATGCCACTTGAGATCAATTTACCTTTCAGCTTCAAGAAAAAAAAACAAAAGAAAAACTGCTGCAAATAAAATTCAAGTAAAAATTTGTTGTCTGTCGCAGCTGCAAGTTGGGTAATTGAAATCACTGTGGCCCAAGTGCACTGCACCAAAAATTGATATAAACAATAAATATTGGGTTAAGTGTATTGAATTTCCAGCTTGTGATGACCCCAATTGTTGAATTGAATACAGGTCACTTTTAAAATGATAATAAATCAAAGTGAGACCTAAAAACACACATCATTTGCAAGGTCGAGAGAACTTAACTAGTTGATTTACTTTACATTTTTTGCTGTGTACTAACATAGTTGTTGCCACATAGTTTAGTTGAGTTAACTTAAGTATAGTTAAGTTGTTTTGGCTTGCGTCGTCGCACTGTCTGACAGAGTTAAAGCCACAAAATCGGTGGAGGAGTTTCAGGAGGTGGAGTGTTTTTATTTTTTGTAAGAGAGCTTGAAGTGTTTTTAGCCAAGTCTGGGGCGACCAACTGGCTAGCTTTGGCCAAGATGCTGACCAATCTAGCCGGTTTCAGCGACCATGAGACAGGCACAAACTTTACACAGCGAAAAAACAGGAGTTTTGAAATGGGAAATAAATAATATATCAATCTGAATCAATTTGTTATTTATTTCTGTGTAACCCCGCATTATTTGATTAAAAAAAAGTTCGACTTTACTCTGCGTTTTGGGAAAGTTGGAGGTGTCTCTGGGGAACTCGAGTTTCCGGATTGATTCGACTCCGATTTCGATGCCGTTTCCGATACTCTGGCGGTCTTAATGCCAGCCTGTGTTTTGGGTATATGGGTTTAATTAACTTGATGGGTTGGCATAAATGCAGATGCAGTTGCAGTTGCAGTTGCAGATGCAGATGCACATCTCTCTCTCTCGCCTTTCTGCGGCGAGACATCTCTGCCACACGAGTGGGCTGACTGTGGCATTCGGTTGCCAGTTTGCCGGTTAAGTGCGAAATTGGGGTCGTCATCTTTAGAGTAGCACAGCCAAAGAGATACATAAATATATATATATTTATATAGACAACAGTTAAGGAAAGATTTTACATGAATATTATCATTACATTCCAAATTTTATTATAATTAAACAATGCCTAAGGAGTTTCTATTAGCAAATTTCCTTTGATACAATCTGAGGCTTAATATCTGTTAAGCAAACATTATGCTGCTTCTATTAACTTGCCCCCGGGTGTGTGTTTTTAAGAGGGAGAAATAGCCCCACTATATATACACAAACACACACCATATACGGCTGTCATCGCAGTCGTTGCATGTGTAATTTGCTGAATTTTTAATTATGACACAGAGCACAGCACGAAAGCAGACAGACGCAGAGATACGGATCCAAATCCATAAGCCAGATGCAGCTTCGAGGGGGTGGGGATTGGGTGGTGAATCTGCAGGTTAATCTGCCGTGTTGCATGTTGCATGTTGCATGTTGCATTTGCCAGTTGCCAACTTATCTAACTGTCAAGCGGGTCTCTTGAAGCCGCTTTAAGCCCCTCGCTGATCCGGGTGCTGCTGCTGCTGTTGTTGTTGTTGGTGTTGGTGTT